TAAAAAAATCCAGTGGCAATTCTTTAAAAACCTCATTGACTGGGAGCGTGATTCTTTCTCAAACAGCGTAGTTTAGAAGCCTTGTTGAAATCCAATAATTTGGTTGTTCACCAGTAGGAAATAGACATCTTAAACATCTTAAATATTTGACCCTTTGGCCTTGCAAAGCACATTTTCACATTAGCAAACTTTAATGTGCCCAGGGTGGTTTGGATTACCATATGTAGTGTCCTTACCTGTCTTTAGGCATCTTGGGTTAAAGAAATACAGCTTTAGAAAATAAGCTCACCTGGAAGAGTTCTGTACTTTTTACCATACAGCAACAGGCAGTGTAAAAATGGCCCTTTCCTTAATTCTTCATTGTTCTCATCTTTCAAACCATGAATTTTGGAGGAATGAGTGAAAGAAGAGGTGAATACCCATTGAATTTTGACCTGAGACCTTTATGTTCTTAAATTCACCCAAATCAATGGATTTAGCTGCATTTGACCACTAGTTAAGTTACACCATCTCACAGTATATTAGATTCTGATTTTTCTTTCTAAATTAATGCCAGCATAAATAGAAAACATGCACTGCAAGTGAACAATATGGGAGAGGGAGACTCTATAAAATCCAAATGTGCGTACGAGCAGCCACAAGTCCATTATCTGAAGTGGTTATGTCATCTTACACCAGCAGAAAACTCAGCCCCTCTACGTTTGATTCCTAAATCTCACCTTACTTCAGATGTTCAAAGGTTCAGATGAATAAGATATGTCTCTGTACAGTGTGTTTTAAATTAAAAGCTAGTGAAAAGCATGTCTCTCCATTTCTGGATGACAGTCTTGGAAAATGTGTTTCAACTGGCAGCTGCCCTCCTCCTATTGCCTCCTCCCTCACTAGAAACCAGCATCCAGCAATGTCAGAGCTGATACATGCCACAAACCAGTAACCTCTTCTTGCTGCATCTTCCCTGGTTTGTTCTGGGTGCTGAGAGTGGCTCTGAAAGGGCAGCAGGTACAGGGCAGGAATATTTCTGGAGGGTATGGGAGGTTCTCTCGTTTGAAGGAAACCGAGACTTCCAACTGATTTTAATTTTATTTTTAATGTTCATGGGAACCAGTCTTACATGCCTGACTGAATTCAGAGTTTGGATTTTTGGCAGGTTTTTATTTGAGCCCAGCTTGGCTGTTTTTCAAAATGTCCAGATTGCTCACATTAAATCTGAATAAGCACTACCCACTAGTTTAATCAGAGTCATCTGGTATACCTCTAATTAGCGTTAGTTAAAGTTGAAATTCTTAATAACACAAAATGCAGCATTCTTGGGATGTGTTTTGTAAACTAAGTATAAAAACTGTAGGAGAGAAAATATCTTTTGCAGTATTATTCAAAAATTGGAATACATGAATAATGATGACAATAAAAAATGGTAACAAAATAAGGCTAAGTTCCCAAAAAATACCATCTTTATCCATTTAGGCATGCATACACATACATAGTATTTTTGATACAAATGTATTTATGGACTTCAGTTGTTGTTCCTGCTAATACAATAATTGACTGTAACTGTATATTGTGCACAAAACAGTAAAATATGTACACATCTGGGAGTATTTCAGCAATTAAATAAGCATTTGACATCGTGGGTTTAGATGTAAATTGTTTCCTGGTCTTAACCCATTGCAATAAATGATATGTAAACAAAGTGCTATAAAAGTATCTTTCCGTTTGAGTTCAATCTATGTTTTGCCTGAGCCAGGAACAGACCATTACTGTGTTACAGGAGGTTGTCAAAAATGAAGCTTGAAAATTATTATACTTGTGCAGTTATTGGCTCCTAAAGGATCAAGACCCCCTACAAATCTAATTTTTTTGTATTATGATCTATACCTATGTGGGGCTTGTTTATGCGGAATTCTTCCCTGAATTCTTGCCTTTGAAGATGCTTTAACTTTTATTATGTCAAGACATAATAAAATTTAAATTAAAACAGCCAGCCCTGCAGTTTGATTGTTTTATTAAAGTGTTCCCCAAATCAGTAATGCTAGATTTGACTTTGATTTTTCAGGTGTCTCTTCTAAATCCTAAAGAACTGGTGAACGAAACTCTTATATTTTGTAGATGAGCTATTGTTTTTTACATTTGTAGTGTAACAATAGTGCAAAAAGCATCTGTTTTCTCAGATTTATGTCTTCAGATGCTCTTGTTTCTCAATCATGCTTCAATTGATACTCTGGACATAGAAATATAATTTGTATTTTTTTTTGGACACATTTCAGTTTCACTGTTCAAAGATTCAATGGATTGTGATTACAGAGGGTTTTTTTTTGGTTTTTTTTTTTTCCAAGGGCATCTGTTCTTAGCCACAGCTGAGGATGGGGCCCACTGAGCTGACTGGAAGGATCCACCTAGAATTTGTTGAATTAAGTCCTTGCACCTGGATATAATTGTCATGCTGCTGTGCTGGGGTTTTCTTAAGCTACTGGTAAAACAAATTAGCTCAATTTAAAGTGGCATCCAGTAGGGAAGCAACAACTCACCTCATATAATGTTTTTCAAATAATTATTTTTCTATTGCCAGTTTTGCTTCATGAGTATTTTCCTAAAGGCAGGATGAATTGTTAGATATTTAAAAAAAAAAAGTTAAATGCAAGAAGCCAAAAAAGCATTCTATTCTGTGTATCTGCTGAGTTACAAGTACCAGAGTGCTATGTGATTGTTGATTTTGTGTGACTGTCTCTCAGATAAATATGTGTATAAATAGCATGCAAATATACATTAAAAGGAAGGCAACAGCAGATATAATGCATTTAAAAATGCTGTATCACAACACCACCTTTACCCTTCCAAAACCTCCAAAGCAGTCTCTGCACACACACTTCATGCACTTTTTGCCAGATTTAGCACTACAATGGTATAACTGCTTCTACATTTGGGAAAGATTCATGCGAGTTTGTTTTTTTGTTGAACAGTAGACAAAGGTAGCCGTTTATGTCTGACATGGGAATTTGTATAAATACCATGGGATCTCATTTCCTTATGTATTTTAGAGCTGTTTGAACTTGGCAGCAGAATCCACAAGCTTCCTGGAAGGTCCACAAAGGTTCATCGCCTCGGTTGGACACGCAGTGGCAGGAGTTCACATGAATCCCTGGAATGTCTGCATCTGCGCTAGCTGCAGCTTTCCATAATATCCCCCAAATGTATACTCTGGGGGAAAACAATGAAAAATCACCTCTGCAGCTGAGCATTTCAGGATGACTTCTGAAACGGAAGAAATAGTACTTTTACTGGTGCTCTAAATATTGCTGTTATTTTATTGATGGGTGATGTGCCAATTTGGAGAAGAGAGGGGTATGTTCACTATGCATGGAGGGTGTTTTTAGATGGAATAACCTCTGGAATAACCCCAGCTTCAGCTGTGCCCAAAGGTGCTGCTTTTCTGACTTGGTCATGTCACTGTGGATACCAACTTAAACTGCTGAGATGCTTCTCAGCTGGCTAAAAAATAACATGGACTAAAGCTACTTCTTGTTTTTCAAATTTTAAAGTAAATTTAAGAATGTAAAAGGAGTCTTGGTCATCCTCTTGCATACTGTGGCAGAAATATAGATGTACACAGTGTTATAAACCATCCTCTAAGCTATACTCTCTTTTAATATTGGGAAGACACAAATGCACCAGGAATGTGAATTAGGAAAGCAGTTCTTTTCTAAAGAATGGCAAAATGTCCAGAGATCAAAAGTTAAATGTAGAAGCTGCTGCCAGTCCTTCAGCTGTGCTGTGAATCTCAAATTTTGGAGAGTGCACATACACAGAGGCAGGGAAGCAGGGACATTTCTGTGGCTCTCCAGAGCAGTTTAACTCATGAAGCATCAGCTTAGGGTGATGTGTGTGTGTCGCCAGCTCTGTCACTTGCAGAGCTGCTGTGTGCCCCCGGGGCCAGTGGGGAAGTGCTAAATGCACACGGTCCTGCATGAAGGCAACTTTCCGACAGCAGCAGATTCTGAACTCGAGACAGTTTAAGGGCGTAGTGCAGTTGGTTATTTTTAAATCGCCTCTCTTATTAAAAAAATAATTTGTTTGTTAACTGCCGAGTCCGGTTCTTGCTTGCAGTGCAGCATGTTTTGTCCAGCCCAGCAGTGTAACAGGCACGGATTTGCCACTGGTGCTCCAGCTGAAGGCTCTGCACAGACCTGGGTGCAGAAAATTCACAGAGCACAAGGGGCCAGCACATAAAATAACACTGAGTTATTGCCCCTCTCCTGAGGAAGGGCAGGTCATGGGAGAGAGCTGCCATACCCTAACCCATTGTGCTGCTGCACACCCTGAGCAAAGGTTTTCTTCCAACTGACACAGCCCTGAATCAATGCATGCGAGCAGGAAAGAAAGTTGCTTTCATATAATATTCCTTTTCATAAGTTCATTTTTCATGAGCTTCAGGGGAAAGAAAAAACCTTCAGTCTTCCCTGAGAGAAGAGGCTGTAACAGCTGTGGCTGGTGTAAAGGTTGCCTCAAATTCTTTCTGTGCTCCCTCTTCTGTCCTGGCTTCCAGGGAGGAGAGAGTAAGAAAAAATCAGTAGCAAACTGAGTCTGGTTTTTTTTTTCCTCATGTGATGATAATCCTAGGACTACACTTAGAGAGAAACTTCCAGTGGGAAATTAAGCTAAACTGAAAAGCATAACAAAATCCAAATGATCTAGACTGCAAGAATTCCTCCAGTGTTTTGTTCTTTAATGCTTATTAATAGAGACAATACCAAACCCTTTTTGTTATAGCATGGATTTTTGCCTAGCAAACTCCATGTCATATCTTCTAATTTAATTATTGAACTCACAATGTGGATAAATGCACAGACATGGCTAATAGCATTCTCTTACAATTTCATTATAGAGTAATAGATGTGGTTTTTAAAAACTGGGTTTTTTTCTTCTGTTACAGAATGTTTGTAATATAAATGAACTCTCACATCCTGTCTTCTTTTTCTCTTTACCCTCTTTCAATTTCTTTTTAGATTTGATTCATAGAAAAATGTGAGTGCTGGGTGCTACTGATTTGGGTCATCTGCATGCAATTCAAAAGCAAAAGGTGATTTTATTTTTTTAAATTGCCTGTCAAGTAATTGGGAGAGATGCAGGAATAAGTGGATTTATGCATAAACCAGAAAACTTCAGGTGAAAGAATGGACCTCTTTATCATCGTAGAAAGAATCCATCTTCAATAATTAACAGTCAGACTATCCCCACACTGTTTCCGCATGACATCTGAGAACTGCTGCACTTCTTGAACCAATAGCTGCTATACAGCAACCAGCATCAGTCCTGAATGAAAAAATTGTCCCAACTGCTGGTGAATGGCACTCAGTGGGTTTCCCATTGAACTGTGCTGCGAAACAATGATGCACATTGGTAAATCACTGTGTGCGCCTTTCAGTTCTTATGCATATCCCATACTGGACAGCTTCCATTCACTCTGGCACCCACTGCAAACAAATGTAAGTATGCATCAGAGATGAAAGTGAAAATGCATATGTTAAATCCCAAATGGAAGCAGAAGAGTGTAATATATACATAGTTGCTTAGCAACAAACATGTTTTGGCCACAGGAATGGTGACATCAGTCGGAGGAGCGAGAGGGAAGCTGCTCTGCCCTCCTTGCCTCTCTCCCTAGAAGCTTCAGAAAGGTCTTTTCTTATTTCTTTCAGAGCAGAAGGGCGAGGGCTATTGTAGCCATGTGTGGATGCTGTTAATGCCCCAGCCCCAGGACAATCAGGCTGGAGCAGGGCACTGTTTCCCCTGGCGGTCTGCAGCAGTGGCACAGGCCCTCCTGAGCAGGCAGGTGCTTCCACCCTCCCTGCACGGCTCCTGCACAGCCCCTCTCCATCAAAACACTCCACGAGGAGACATGAGATCTGAAAATACAAACTGCTGCAAATAAAACACATTTTTGATGTTACTGATTCTGCCTTTGACCCTATCATGTTTTCCATGCTCCCATCACGGGTCTCTATTGTGACCCTTTCAAGCTTCTAGAGGCTTTTATTTTACTGATATTTCACATTCATTGGTCTCTGACTTTTTGATTGTTTTGATGCTGATTTCAGTAAATCACACACTGTCTATGGCTAGTGGACAAGTATTAATTCCCTTAATTTCAGATGGTTTGAATATCTTTTGTCTCTTTTCCCTCTTCCTGCACTGTCCTGCTCTCTGCAATGGGAGGCAAAGGAGGCAGCTGGTGAATCCTGGTTCCAGCAATGTGGAACCCTCCATGCAAGTGGCTCCTACAGACACACACACACACTGTACCTCATGTTTTCAGCAGCCTGGGTGCTCCCCTGGCCCACCTTGCATGTATAGAGAAATTGCATCTCAGGGATCAGGTCCATCTGCCACTTTGGGTTGCTGAAGACACATCCCTGCATACACTGTTATTGAGTGCTTCCTCTTAAGATAATTCATATTTGGATCCCCAGTGGGGGAAAGAGCACATCAGGCATGCACTTCTCTTTGCAAAGGGGCTTTCTTGACCACGGGAGAGATGTGTAGGAATGAAAGATATACTGAAGAACTCAAGTGAAATTAAAATAATAGATGAAAGCAGGCTTAAAGGACAATTATGGTAAAACAATGTATTTATTTCCATTCATGAAGCTTCTGCGTAGATAGTTTTGTTAGCTCTCATTTTCTGTGAATTCATAGAGCTCCTTTTTCACACACTAGTACATATCAAACTGACAAGGTATAACCAATAATATACCACTTACTATCAGATAAGTTTTGGGATAAATGTTCATCATTCTGAAAATATGGCAGAATTTGAGACAAGGTGTGGTGGTGCCTCTGACCAGAAAGGCAAACGAGGTCATTCTGGCAGGGTGGATCTAAATAGAAGGGAAAGACAAAAGACTGGAAAACTGGAAAAAGATTAATTCTGTCATTGATTCTTTCTGGAGAGCTAGAATATTTTCTTCTCTTGAAATGCCAAGAAAAAGCACCAGGAAGTATATAGTTGATGTCCTCAGCAAACAGTTGATGTGAATTCTTGTCTTCATTTTCAGCCTGTGACTTTAAGCAGTTGTCCTAGAATGGCTTTCAGCCTCAATCGCAGTCCTGAGTGATCCTACCGCAATTAAGTTCTCATATGGATGAGAAGTTCATGGCTGGCTCCTCAGTTTCACCAAAGGTGAAACTGGGCTCCCATATCTAAATTTTGTGAAGTTGGCAGCTTCAGCAATGGACTGAAATTGATTGCCTGAAGTTCCCCCCAAGAAATTCTCCTACCATGCTATGGCGCTTTTCCCCCGTATGTGAACTCTTCTTATTTAATTTGTGAAATAAATGACTATATAGCTGAAAGATAATTAAACTAGAAAACAAAATAGATGTTTTCGAGGCCTGTTAGATTGCTGGCACTTTAAATGTGAATAATAAAAAATTTTAATGGTAATTGTTGTCATTGAGTAACACAAGATTTTACAATTCACATTAAATACTGAACTCTAATTTATTTTCTAATGTGCACATTTTAGTTTATATCTCTGTGACCCTACTCTTTAAATGCAGGCTCAATCAGTTGTCAAGAGTTGGCTTTCTTAGAACTATAATTTATAATTTTCCTAATGGAAAAATGGGACATTTTCCTATTCCTATTTTCTTATAGTTAACCACATAGAGCAGGTAGTTTTCTTTTCAGAAAGATACATCTCCTTGTTAAGGAAAGATTATGACCCTATCCATGCTTTTAGTAATTGTGTTGTGAAGATCCAATCAAATGTTCCCAAAACAGATTGAAAGTTCTTAACAAGTTCATATCTCTAAGAGTAAAGTGTGAGTTTGAAGAGTAATAGTGAGAGAAAAGATGGGATGGAACCATGCAAGTTCAGAGTATGAGTCAGTTTTCACGAGTTAATGACATTTCATGTCACTTGGAGTCATGGGGACATCCTTAGTAGCTCTACTGGTCCAGTGACATGATTTGGGACCTTTAAGCAAGACTTCTGCGACTGTTTCACTATGCACACAGGTCTCATCAAGAATTATTAAATATTTTATAGGAAAAATTGCAAATATCGCAAACCCCGTTTAACCTCTCCCTCTCTTGGCAAGTCTTAACAAATTCATAAAAAAATCTAAGAAAACACAGTTTTGATGAAACCTTCCAAAAGATGTGTATTTTCCCAGTTGGAAAAATATATTTGGAGATCAGTTATCAACAAGGCACTGTTCAAATGGAAATCTGTAGCAAGCAGAATCCTGTGCTGTGATCTGTGCTCACTGATTGGTGTCAATAGTGCCCTGGGTGCAAGAACCAATTGTAATCACTACAACCACAAGGAACAGCAGCCTGGGAAAACTGCGGGTATGTTGGATAGTGGAACTGTAAATCAGATTGGGGAAGTGATTAGAAAAATGTTATTCATCGTGGAGAGAAAATAAAAGGTACTTACTGTATATACAGAGGAAAAGTTGGCTGCAGAATGGAGGGTAAAGTAGGTGATTCTAAAGAAAACAAGAGAGAAGTTAAGAGGGGTTCAACCTGCATTTAAGTCTTCAATGATAGAATGTTGTGAAAAAGAAAAATATGCTATTGAGAATTTTTTTAAAAATAAAAGTAACCTGGAAGGTTAAATTAATTAAAAAAAAAGTTATGTTCCTTTAGAAAAAGGTTACATTCCTTCATACACCTGTAACAGGTGTATAGGTCCTTCTGCCTTCCTCAGCACAAGCAAGCTTTGGGCATTGCTTTCCTAAAAGGACATGAAGGAAAAGAGAGAATCCTGAGCCAAGCAGTCAGAACCAGAGAAATTGGAAAGATGGGGACTGTTTACAGCATACAGAAGGGAGCTTAAAAATATTAAAATACATTAAAAAAGGTGCTGAAGAGAGGAAAGAAATGAATTAACATTTTCCTCCCCGAATTGATAAGAAAATATAAACTTAGTTAACTCAAAGAACAATTTAGGCTAGGTGTTATAAAAGTCATAATTAAAGAACAGGTCAGATGACATTGGGAAAGTATGTGCATTTCCACTGCTGAAGGACTTTACAAAGTGGTTAATAAACAACTGTAAAAATAGCACAGGTGCAGTTGATTTTTGACCTCTTAAAATCTGTTGCCGCTCCGCTTTCTATTATTTTCTCCAAGTGGATTCTGCCTCTTGGATGTTAGTTGGTAAAGCCAGCAATCAAAATAATAATGTAGAAGCAGAGGCCTGTAAACACAGAGGATCTGGTATGGTTTCCAGCCATGTCATTCAGCCTCTGGTAGGAAGTGCCAAGATATGTGCTTTGGAAGGCTCCTAGGGCACATAGCTGCGTGTCAGCCCATTTCAATTAGCGTGTTGAAATGGCGGATTACACATCTCTATAAAAATTAAATTGGTCTCATCCCTGAAATTATAAAAAGCCCGAGGATCCAATAGAAGAATGAAATCTTGAGCACCTCGATTTCAGGAGCCACTGGAAGGCGTGGTGCCACTGTTTCTGTGGCACCCCACTGCTGCTGCTTGTCCTCTCTGATGTCCCCTCTCCCACAGCGTGGGTCGCAGGGACAGGGAAGCAGGGATGGAGAGCAGTCCCTAACAGATGGCATTCTGCTGGGGGTGGCTTGGCTGCCAAGATGTCAGGGAGCCCTGGGAGCCTCAGTTCTGCAGCTTTCTGAAGACAGGCTTGCTCTCTCAAGTGCCGTATTCAGACTATTTAAATGTGCAGTTTAGATGATTTTGAGTGTTTAATTGTACAACTGTCCTCTCTGCAGTACTGAGCTTGTGGCACACTGTAAGTCACCATGCATTCACCATCATCCAGGGCCCCAGCTGGGAGCTCAGGTGAGCTGCTGGTTTCCCTTGTGTGCTCAGTCATTTCCCTCTTTTGAGTCTTCTCCTTCCACCCCACCTGTGTCTCACACCACCAGCCAACACATTTGCCTCCCCAGGCTCTCAGGGGATCTATCATGAGATCTATATGAGGCTGAAAAATTTCTCAGATTTTCTTTTCTTCATGCCATTTTGGGGGCTGTCAGTGTCCCTGAAACTTTTTGTCACCACTGGTCCCTTCTACCTGTGCTGTATGTTGGTACAGCCCTGG